TCAAATCTAACAAATCTACAAAAAATGTTATATACAACTGTAAAAAGATTCTAGACTTTCATGAATTAACTAAAAATAAATAAATGTTTTAATGATCACAAGAAATTTTTTTAAAAAAAAAAATAATTATTTCACGGGCTAATTGGTCAGTTATTAAATAATGATCTTTTTTAAAAAAAAAAAAATTTATTATTTAGTTTTATAAGATTTTTATTGTTCAATAAAAATCTATTTCGAGTCAAAATATTGGACAATAAAAATCTTATAAAACTAAATAATACATTTTTTTTTTTAAAAAAAAGATCATTATTTAATAACTGACCAATTAGCCCGTGAAATAATTATTTTTTTTTTCTAAAAATAAATAATTATTTAAATTTTTAAAAATTTTAAAAATATATACAACGTATTTATTTTTTTCATATCATTTTTATTAAATTTATTTTGTACATTTGATTTATGTTATAAGTAATTACTACTTCAATATTTTAAATTTATTAAATACAAAATATTGAAATTAAAAATTAAAAAAGAGTATTTAAATTTATTATAATGTAAATGATTTTTAACTGCCCACATTAATAAAAATTAAAAAATTTTGTTTTAAATTAGTTTTATAAGTAAAAGAAGATCATAAAAGATATTATTTGTTTTAAAAACTCTTATAAAATTTAAAAACCCATTTTTCATACAAAATCCTTTAAGTGGAAATACAATATTATATAGAATTAACTTTTTCGAAAAGGGTGGTCAACTTCAAACAAATTAAATTCTTAACGTGATTATTAATAATATAATTAAAAAAGAAAAAAAATCAAATGTCTATACAATTCAAACGGAAATTTAGACAGTTGTCTTCACTTTATTGTCAATCACTGTATTCAGCAATTACATTAAATATAGTTGATCTTATAGGTTATGATGTAGAATTGTCAATTCTAATAAGTAAAAATTTACTTTCGTTACCTTAAAACTTACTGGACTGATGTGAAACTATATATATAATATATATGAAATTAAATCTCTAGATTATTATATATATAATGCGAAAGCAAGAATCTGAAACTAATAATCATTCAATATAAGAATTTGACTTCCTTATATGCTCGATAATTTTAGAAAAAGAAAAGTATACATGACAACATGATTTCAGTTTACTATAATTACTATATTTATAATAATTACTATATTCCAAGCACATATAACAAGTGATTAACTTTATGTACAGTTGACTATATAGGGAACTCCAACATCATATTCAGAATATAATTATAAATTTAGCTGTAACGGCATAACGTTATACCTTATGCCTATTTGATGTCAAGTACATGACTTAATGTTTCAAGAAAAAGGCTATAATTGCCATTTTAGGACTGTGTATTCTATTAAAGCGCAAAAATTGTTTCTCACATACCACTTAATTGTTATTATTTAATCGCATCCATTAATGTAAATGTAGTTCAAAGATAATTCAGCAAACATAATTCTAAGGTTATTGGAACAAGAAGCACTTCGCTTTTTAATATTGTTTATTTTCTCATATAAAAATAGTTCTATATCATCGCTAATACTGTATTCGCATGAGAGTTTTGTCAGTAGTTGTTGCTTTCAATGCCAAATTATTTTACTTGTATTTTACTTGAATTTTACTACGAGTAGCTCGTGGAACAGACCTATTATTATGAGTTAAATGCGATCATGTAATTGCACTATAGCATAAGGAATATTAATAAAAATACGATTAAAAATATTAAGCAAGTAGAATAAACTATTTTTTTAACTAAAAATTATCATTTTAACCGATTTAGTTAATAATTGACTGACAACATACTTAGGCTCTATCAATATTTATAATGACAAAGGTTAGAAATTACGTTAGCAATACATAATAAGTTAGTAATAATTGACTGCATTGCAGTTAAATTTAAATAAATTTTAGTTTTAATAAATTTAGCTACAATAGTCTATAGGAATCGTACTATAAAACTTTATTTCTGATATGATCAAAATTGTAAAACAGTTTTGAAAACAAATAATATCTTTTATGATCTTTTACTTAAAAAAATAATTTAAAACAAAATTATTCAATTTTTATTAATGTTGTGGGCAGTTAAAAATCATTTACATTATAATAAACTTAAATACTCTTTTTTAATTTTGCCGCAAGATGTCACTCTACTGAAAATATTGAACATATGTTTTTTATTTTCATGAGTTTTGCTTTTGTGCCGATTTAATTGAACAAATAATTATAAATTAAAATATTTCTGAAAATGGGTAATGTCAGGTCTATGTTATCGCGCAGAATAAATCGATTTAATGTAGAAAATCGAGCACACAGGTTTTTAGACCGAGAAAAAACGGCTGCGGCACCAAAATTTGAATCTAATATCAAAGACATGCAACGTGCATTGGAACGTAAATATTGCAATTTTTATATATTTTTAAATTCTTGAATGAAAATAAAAAACTTTTAACCTAAAACTATTTGCAATTCTTAGTCGATCCAAATCTTAAGCTTAAGTTAGAAAGCAAGGACTCGGCATTGGATGAACGCTTGAAAAGGGTTTATGTAACATCCGAAGATAAATTTGTATGTTAACACACACACATTATATATATGACCTTACATTAATATAAATAATTCCAATAAAACAGGTTGAGTATCCTATAACACGAACTTTTAATCCAGATAGACCATTACCATTAGACAGAACAACGCCGGAGTTTTCAGAATATGGACATGTAATGCCAAGAGAAGTTGCGCGGGGACGTTGCACATTAAAACAGGCAATCGATTTTATTACGGATCATAATAGTGAGCCAGAAGTCTGGACTAAACAACGAATTGCTCAGCAGTACAAAATGAAGGAACCTCTTATTGGTGAGTAACATTTTAAATAATTATAATAATTTTTAATAATTATTTCCCTTTATTCGCAGATGATATACTTACATATTTCAAATCATTCAATGTTCACATACCGGAAAATACGTGGGATAAACATTTAACACAAGCGCAAATTAAACAAATAGACGCAAAGGATTCAAATTCAACAAAGTAAACGGTTTTTCTTTTATTTATCAAAAATCTTACACGGTTGGTGATTCAAATGAGAAAATGCTTATTTAATGAAAAATAAAAAATTTAAAACTTTAGAATTTTGTACTTGCACTAGATCTATATATGCGTCTAAACAACAGCATTTGGTGGACAGTTATATATATTAAGACACTTGTCCTCCGATACTGAAATCACTTTATCATTATTATAGTTATACGATACACCCCAAGCTTGATCTGCGTGTTCCTTAAATGTATGCATACACTTTCTCTCAGCAAAGTCCCAGATTTTAACTGTTGTATCACTAGAGGACGATGCGAAATGTTTACCATCCTCCGAAAATGCAACACAGAGTACCCAAGATGCATGTCCTGAAAGCGTACCAGCTACATCGGAGTGTGCACTGAAAGTATAGAATAAGTTTTTATTAGTTTGTATTTTGTACGATGATCTGATTTAAACTAAACCTAAAGACTATTGGAAATTAATTCTATAAGCATGGTTGAGAATTGAAGCAAATTGTTGTTGTTGTAGCCCGCGGGAATTAAGATTAATAAAATATGAATATTAATAAAATATTAATATTAATAAAATATTAATATTAATAAAATATTAATATTAATAAAATTGTATATTATAATATAATATTAATAAATATTATATTAATAAAATATTAATATTAATAAAATATTAATATTATTAAAATAATATCGTCGTCACTGGTACAATTTTTCTAAAATTTTTTAAGGGATTTCCCATGAACACTGAGTTCGTTGTTCTAAAACACAGAGATCTATCGAAGTAGATAACATGAAATGAATTTCTAATACGTGTACATGGGTTAGGATGTGGGTAGACACAATTGTAGTGTGAGAGCTAGTCGATTGTTTAGAAACAAAATTGAATTAGGAATAAATGTATTAATAAGTGACAAATTTGCACTGCTCTTGAGCTAGGACAGTTCTTGTTGCACAGAGAAGGCATCATTATTTGTAGGGGCTATTAGGCACAGACCTGTTGAGAACATCGCTGTACCACAACCGTGGTCTCGAAGAGGATACTGCAACTGTGTGGAGGTTTATTGTTAGGTAGCACTGTAATATATGGAATAACGTATAAAATGGGAAGAAATATCAATTTTAAGATTATGGTTTATCAAAACATATAACAATTATTCAAACTTATACATACACATCATAAAGTTTCATATGTCCATCATCGGATGCCGTCAACAACATCTGGGAATTTGGTGAAAAAGTTAAACTACGCACAGACATAGCGTGACCTTCCAGAGTCTGTACAACCTTACCAGCAGCAACATCAAATATAGTTATGATACCATCAATAGCGCCACTCGCAATATACTTTCCATCCGGGCTCTATTATCAATAAGATATTATATTTTAAAAAAAACTCTATATAGAAATTAATTATACATACATAAGCTATGCTTAGTGTAAATTTTCCGTTTTGTGGATCGAGCACCTGCTCTGTTTGGCCAGTCTCTACGCTATACATTGATATTTTACCAGTATGTGAACCCGATATAATAAATTTATTGCATGGCGAAAACGCCACCGTCCACAAATCAACCGGACCTAATCTTAATAGATGTTTGCGCTCTCCAGACTCAGTATCCCATACACACAAAGTTGAGTCCAAAGAACTACTAGCTATTTCTATAAAAAAATAATTTTTAAATATTATAATTTTGTATTAATATATATGTCTACTTACTTTTTCCATCAGATGAGATTGCAACCGAAATTACACCTAAAGCGTGTCCCTTAAGTGTGTGCCGAAGTTTGAGCGTAGAATCTTTATTAATGTCCCAAACTTTCAACAAATCATCCAGCCCGCCAGTTACGACGAAATCAATAGGCTCATTTTTTTTCTTTGCTGTTAGGGAGTCACGACTTACGTCAGGATCTCTATCCTCCTCAAAACTAGACTCGATTGCCGGTTCCTGAATTCTAGCCCAACCGCAAGACCATATACCGTCTTCATGAGCATTTTCCTCTTTATATATTAAAGAAAACTGTAAAGTATTTATAAATTTTTATTTGTTCCATTAAATTGGAGCTGAAAAATAATTACTCTTACCATATTTTATTGCAAAACTTTAAAAACAAAGTTATTGGCACAACTCAAATAAAATGCAAAGGAAAAACAAAATTGACGTATTTGGCAAACAGATGTAAACAGAGCGTTGCCAACAACTTTTTTACTTGTCACTTAAAAGTTAAAAGCAGCTCATCCACAATGTATTGTTTCAAAAATCCTGATGTAATTAGAAGTAATTATTTGTGGTATTATATTTATTAACAAGTTGATTTATTTTAAAATTTAATATAATTTAAAAAAAGCAGGTATTTTATATTTGATGCTACTTCATCTATTGGTGTAGTCCTAAGTAGCTCGATGGAGTTACAAATGAAAATCATCTAACCAGCAATAAATAATACTCCAGCGTAATTACTCTGTATAAATATCACACTGTTATGGTTTAAACAAAAATTTTTTTATGATTTAAATTAAAACGTTACTTATAATAAACTTAGAAAACTTTAAAAATACGATGGAATTATAAGCAAATATATATTATTAATTAATTTAATTTATTGCTTATACATAAGCATTTTTATATGTTTATGAAGTTTATATATTTATGAAATTAACTGTTAAAATACATTTATTTGGATAGTGTGAACGGACTGTTCATGTTTTGGTCACTGTTTAGTAATTTATGGTCATAACGATGCCAACTAATGTATACCCAAACAAACGTGGTACGGTACGATATGCTATAGATAGCCCTTACGGTATATGGAATAACACAAATAGCTACAGCAGGCTACTACGGCAGTTTACGATATTATATCATAACGCAGTTATACTGCATTTAAAACAATTGACTGCTCTAGATATCGTGGTTAGTTTACAAGATTTGAAAAGTTTGCTCAACATGGAAAAAGAATGTTTAGTTTTAAACTGAATCAATTAAATATGCTTTTAAAACTTTATGAATAATTTATAGTTTCATTATAGGAATTCTTAATATATATCAATTTTTATTATAAAATTTTTATTACAAAATTTTTATTATAAAATTATTTTATAAATTTATATAAATTTATATATGTAAATGCATTTTAAAAAAATAGAAGACTTTTGTTTATTTTAATGCATTTATTTAAAATAATGCTAATATAAAGCATAACACATTGAAAGTGCCTTATCGTACCATATCTTTGTTATCTTAGCTATATCGTTACCGGAAAATGTATGAGATTGTACCAAAACTGATCTGTTTAGAGGTACTTTTAATCACCAGATATGACAATTGATTTACTATTTTTTCTATTATTTATTAACTTAATATTATTTTTACTATAATACTATATACATTATTACATTACATTACTATATACATTACATTACTATATATTTTTATCAAACCCAAAAAAAAACTGTAAGATTGATTTTTTTAAAATCTTTTTATCTTTTATCTGATTGAGTATTTTGATTTCATATGAGACAAATCACAATACGTATCCATTTAAAACTAATGGCAGCCAGTATTTACATGCATATTAACAAGAATATGATATGAAAAGTTTAATATTTTTCACAGCAATTAGTGTACTTTTATTTTTTTATTGGAAACAATTACAAATCCTTAGGAAAACAGTTATTTATTCACACAAAAACAATTATTTAAAATACTTTATTTAAATTATAGTTAAATCCAAATTGTTGAAACTGAAATCTGAAGCTCGATTCCTTAAATGCGATAAACTTTGGGAACAACGAAAAACTTTTTTCTCACCACAGTTTACACTTTCTTGCAAACTTCAAGTTAACAATTATTTTAGATTATAACTGTTAAATAAATAATAATTGTATAGTTCAAATGTAGCATTCAGGAAGTATTGGAAATAGTTGAATATATTAAATATAAATTATATTTATTATTTTCTATTAATATAGCGTTCAGGGAGTATTGGAATTAGTTGAATATGTTAAATATAAATTATATTTATTATTTTCTTTTAATATAGCGTTCAGGGAGTATTGGAATTAGTTGAATATATTATATATAAATTATATTTATTATTTCCTTTTAAATAAATTCTAATGAGTTTTTCGAAAAGAAGAGAACTACAACAACAAAAATGTTCTTTGATATTATTTTAATTAATTGAATTTTTGACTGAATAAATTCTAATATTAAACGGTATATACAACAAACTTTATATAACGCGCACTAAACATATATAGCGACTGCAATAATACCAAATCATACAAATTTATTTCACCATACATTTTAAAAAAAAATTTCTGGCAACACCACAGAAATTCTAAAACAACTCAAGACCTGCTCCCAAGAAAATTTTCATTCATTCGCATTTGAGTGGTGGTCGAGGTATTGTTGAGGAGTCTGATTATAATTGTTTGTTTTTTGTTTAAATAATATATAAATGAATTTTTTATGTAAGTGTGAATCAATTACTTTTTAAATGATCGTTAATAATCAATCCCAGCTAAAAATAATTTCAAATTAAATCAGTGATCAGTGAA